TGCCAAGACATATGACAGGTCGGATTCACACTCTAAATTCTTACTTTCAACTCATCATTACCATGCTGATATGGATTCAGCCTATACTTCTCTTTCAGTTTGTGTGTATTCTATGCCTGCAATGTCGCTGACGTTTGCTGATGTTGTTGCTTCTTCTGTTTTTCCTGCCACTACTACATCTACCATTTTGGCTGTTTTGCCTTTTGTGCCTTTTTCACCAGTTCATTCTCGGAAATTTTCTTGTTGGATAACTCTTCTATTTCTCCAGTTTCATTGTTTCTCCTTTCACAAAAATTGAATCTTGGTTTTACTCTATCCAGTCATTGTACCAAGAACTTACTAAAACTGCCTCCGAGTTGATGTACATCAACTTATCCCTACCCGTAATGGAATCATTGTCAAAACTTTCAGTACTTGTGTCTATGGCATTCTTTGTAATCAAGTTGCCCTGATGAGCTTGGATCCCACTACCAACCTCTGAAAACCCAACTCTCCCTTTCTCAAACAACCACCACCATCTAAACGGTCCTCTATTTTCGGGTTATACTTGGGGTGGATCCTTTCATCACTGAAGAAGACATTATTTTAGAATTGCTGGAGGATAAATTAGAAATTCAGCATGCCATCAGAATTAAAACTGTTCAAGGTCCAACTTATATGATTTGTGTTCTATCTAAAAGTAGCGACGTCGTTGACCATCTTCTTCGACATGGAGCCTATATCTTTCACCAACATCATAAGGTTGTAGCTTCCCTATCTCCTCCTCCTCTACCACTATGGTGCAAAAATGTTTACGTTGCAACTCTAACACAACTACTAGATGCCAGAATTTACCAGATTGCCCCATTGTAGGTTCCCACATTTTTACCGCCAGTGGCAACAGTTGGAACTATCTCCAGTTTGTAATATTTGCTACATATTCTTATAGATGTCGTGGTAAACGTTCTACTGTAGAGGACATTCTTCAATTTCTTGCCATTGATATTCAGACTATTCATCCATATGAGCGACCACTTGTTCTTGACAGTAAAAATCATGCTGCTAAAGCCGTCTTTAAGTTAAACATGCAAGCCACCTACTCTGGATTGAATACGCATTTTCATTTTCATCGACTATAGGAACCAGAAGAGTTAGGTCTAGAGACAATGTTATAAGCTTTTTATTCGTTACAATTTATTCTTTCTTTGTGAATCTTCCTCTATTGGAAATGCTTCTAATTGATGCTGCTTATGATTGCATTCTACTCAATGAAACCTTTCTTACATCCACACAAACAGCAAAGTTGTGTCGTTACCATTTTCTTTTCTGTAATTATCCTTCCAATATTAACAGAGGCGGGGTTTCCTATCTGTATTCATTCTCTTCCTCCAAATAATTATCCTGAGCATCTTCTGGTCACTGCATACTTTCCAGCTAGGATACTTACATTGATTAGAGTATATATCAGTCCTGGCCATCCCTTGCCATGTGACTTTTTCTGCACTTCGAATGTTTCCTAGTTACATAGTTCAAGCAAATTCAACCTCCATAGCCATTCGGCATTTTAGTTATCTTACTTTCGCTTCATCTTGTGTGACCTTTCAGGTTCTTTACTATCTCTTCCCTTTCCTGGCTGACCTGAATTCAACTCATTTTCGGATATGGTATTTTCTTCTGCCAATATCAAACTTCTAATTTCCATTAGTGTGCTTCCTCCAATTGGAAGTGATCAACTCTCAATCAAAGTTCAGCTTGAGGCTACCCATACCTATGTTCCTTTTGAACTTTGTCATGCATTTGTAAATTTTCGTAGTGCTGATGGGGAAGCCTATTACTCTCATATCACTGATTCAGTTGGTGATACCATTAGGCATATTACCTCTCCTGCTCAGGTTGATGCTTTTGTCTGCACCCTGGAATCTCATTTTCCTCGATCTCCTCATAGCATTGCTTCTTATTCTACACCAAATAAACCTGTAGTACCTCGTCGGGTTCTGGATCTTCTACGTATCTCTTCGTTGTTGCTTCATGATTATTATCATTCTCATGATCCTTTTGTACTAAACCATTTTTGTGGTCTCCAGTGGACGGCCCATAATCTCGTACGAACAGTAAAGCATCGTCGTCAGTATAGGACTTGCAATAACCTCTGCAGCTCTCTCTCTTCTTCCCTAAACTGAAAACAATTTTGACTCCTTACCAGACAACGTGTTTCTCCATACTGTGCATACTGGTTGATGGTTGATGCACCTCTATCATCCACTGACAAATCTAATTCTTTTGCTTCCTACTTGGATCTCACTTTCAAGCTCCTGATCAAAACCCTTTGGATTTTGAGGATTCTTCTAATATCTATCTTCAGACCAACCCCTCTCTCGCAGTTCTCACTCCAAGTCTTGACCATACTTTCTTAGCCTGTCCTCTGAATGCACCTATTACTGTTCGAGATATTCATTTATGTCTTCATAGACGGCGCAACACAGTTCCTGTTTCTGATGATTTGACTTACTCTCACCCAAGGAATGCCCTGACATAATTTTTACTTCTTCCGGTCGCTTTCTGAAATTTCTTCCTTTGGGCTGATTTTTACCCTGAATCTTAAAAGAAATCAACTGTTCTACTTTTTTAAAACCATCCAAGTCCAAGTCCAGTGAATATTGATTCTTACCAACCTATAAGTCTTACTAATTTTCTTAGCAAAACACTTGAAAAAATTCTTGTTCACAGACACATCGTTCATATATCCCAGTGCAACATTTTTCCCCACACCCAAGCTGGTTTCCATCCCCACCTATCAACTATGGATAAGTTCCTCCAATCATTTGCAATTATCACAACACATTTTAACACTTTTAAACCTTCTTTTCTTCTTCATTTTGGCTTTGCGATTGCTTTTGACTCTGTTTAGCATTGAGGATTAATTTATAAACTATGAAATATACAAGTTCCGCTGACGTATGTCCGATTTATACACTCAGTATCACTCTGTCACAATATTTCTTGAGGGGACACACTCCAAATCTTTTTCCATAGCTGCTTGAGTTCCATAGGGGTTGGTTTTTCACCACTTCACTATGTGCTGTGTGTATTAGGCATGTTACTTTCCTCTTCTCCATTTTCATTCTATCGATATACTGATGGCATTGTTCTGCTGGCTACTTGAAGACGATGATTACTCTTAATAAGTTTCTTCAGGCTGCCATTAATAAGTTCATTCTTTGGAGTCATTGATGGCGTCTTTTCATTATGCCCATAAAACCAGAGCTATTATGTTTGGCAGTACGCATCACAAACCTTGTCAGTGTTGTGACTCATCTTTACTTAATGTAAGTGTTGAGAATGTTTCACTCAAACTTTCCGACACTCTAAAATACATTGGAGTTACTTTTGACAAGCATCTCACCAGGACTAGTAAAATCACGTCTCTACTGCAGCTCCTTTGTGCCTGTCTGGTACCTCCTGGGGTTTAAACCCTCCACTGTTCCTTTTACGCATAAGGCCTTCATTATTCTTCGTCTCACTTATGGACATACGGCGTGGATTTCTGGGCCATCTTCCCTTTATCTTCATTTACAGGTTATGGAATGTCAAATCCTATGTTTGACATTTCACATTCAGCTTCCCAATTCTACTAAGGGCCTTTATGATCGCATTAATTGTTCACAAATTCTTATTCACCTCCGAGATCTTCAGTTACGTTATGCCCAGCGGTGTTTCTGTACTCAAAATGTTCTCTTTGTTGTTGCGCTTGGGCATACAGTCTATCAGTCTCTTCGCCTCATATCTCCTCTGGAACATTTGTTGAATCTGTATGTTATGTCTCTTCCTTCTGAGGATTCTGAACATGTTGACCTACCAATGATGGACCCCCAAACTATATTTACCCTGTAGATTCACAATCTTGTAAGCAGCACAGATGATAGGGGGTCGTAGTAACAAGTCAGGATAAAAAATAAATAAATACATAAATAAAATGAAATTAAATTAAATGAATAAAACAAATCAATAAATGGATATACCAAGCATTTCCTACTACATTTCCCACCAGCAGCACCTACATTAAATGGCAGGAATAGCTATTTGTTTTCTCTTCATTCCAGTATCTCCTTTCACAGTTGTCTTATTTATCAATCATTAAATTTTCTCTAATTTTCTAGTCACATCTCATGGCTGAAGAGAGGGCGTAGCAAATAATTGGTATAGCATTTAGCAGACAGGGTGGCGTATTTTGTACGGTGATTACATGTGTAAAAAAGAGGAAGAGGTCTTCGAAGTATCTGACTCTCCCACGTCGCGCACATTGACCAAATGCTCATCCAGGCACTTCACTAACTTACCTTGTTCAGTGTTAGGAAGAAGAGAACAACGCTGAAACTGACCCTCCGTGGTCCAAACATGGACCGAATCCCGATGCAGAACCGACTGCTTACTTACCTTGTCCAGTGTTAGTGACAAGAAGTGAAATTTTCCGAAACCGGAAAAATTCAGTGACAAATGACATATCGAATTACAAATTTGATTTAAGTTTTAACATATATTTTTTGAACGTTTCGAGTGTTTCTTTAGAATAGAGTATAATATGTTATGTTTAAGTTTTTTGTTAATTTTCCTTTCTATTTTTATTTAAGAATTAATGAAATTAAATAATTTAACTAATCCTTATGTGATAACCAACTACTTAGAAATATGTATTTCGCTACAACAGTACAAGCACCTTCATGGGTTCTGTTAAAGTTGAAATTTCGAGTATACAAGTCTTTGAAATTTGTGAAGTTTCATTTTTCTAAGTGAAAGTTGGATCTGCAATCGTTTTTAACATATAATAGGCTGTCATGTAAATGTATTATCTTTAATTTTTTAAACTATGGTAGCACAATGTTTGCCAAGCTAAGTCAACCCATGAGGAGCAACGATATAATGACTGTGAAAAGCTTTTGCAATATTAGAAGAGATAAGACGTATAGAAATACGGCCAATAATGGTTCTGTGACGTAATTATCATGTGACTATTAGGCTGCATCATATGGTACATAGTTGTGAGTTAAAGACGCAACATTCACAACCTCGGTCCTTCGAATAAGACGGGTATAGACGTAATAACTGAACGTTCGTACTAGCTAAAATGGATACTCGTAATCATTGTTTAATATTTATATCTGTAAGTTTATGTGTTTTAGTCGGAGTTCATTGTAACCAGCTAGTTGGAGGGTGGGAAGATGCTAGTATTGATGATAAAAACGTTAAGGAAGCAGCAGGATTTGCAGTGAAGGAAATAAATTCACGATCAAACGGGCTTTATCACCAGAAGCTAGTCAAAATTCACCAGGCACGCAGACAGGTGAGATTTAAATTATAGTATCGGAGAATCGTTCGAAATGTTAACTTTTAAAGTTCCGTTCGACGTTGTTCGTGACTTTGTTAGAAAATATGTCACAGCCTTTACTTGTAAGTTCAGTCTAACGAAGTTGTTAATAAATCAACTTAAGACCTAGATGTATAACAAAAAAATAAGTCAAATATATATATGTAAATAATGCATTATTAATATCATTATCATATTGAGTTAATTACACGAGAGATGTTTGAATGAAAATCGAATACAATGGGGAAAATTGTAATAATCTGAGTAAAGAAAATAAGTGATTTATCAGTTATAACCGAGAATGGTATTTTGGACTTGGTATAACCTTATGTAGGACGGAATGTTAATTTTTTTTGTTTAGACTTTAGTATAATTACAATTTATAGACCTGTAGATAATGTGTCAAGCACCATATCATGGCGTGTAAGGTTGTGCTCACTGCCATACATTCTCGCATTGTAACCTAAGTTGGTGAATTGTAAATTTGAGAACGTTAAAAAAATTGGCCAGACTAGAGCTTTAACCGAGAATACTCGGTTCAAACAGTTATTAGCGCCATAAGGCATAAGACCAGTGTTCTTACTGTTTAAGTTAACACGGCTCAAATTCAAAGCATATAACTCGCAAAAGTCATTAGATCATGATTTGGTATGTGCCTCACGGACTATCTAGTTTGTAGTTAACAGGAAAACAGTCCACAGCTTCCAACATAATTATTATTATTACAATCTACAGTATCGGTGTTATATCAAGACTAGTAGTAATGTTACAGGTAACATTTAGATCTAACTTTGGACCCTGTTCTCAATTATTTGCTTGAACTAGTTGAAGTTAACTCAAAATCTGTAACTTATTCTAAGGATTTAACAGCAATTGGCAGTTTAATAAGTACAAAACAGTTAGCAGTGATAACTACATTTGTTAAATTTAATTTTTCCTCAGGAATTTAAATATTTGATCCTTGTGTGGTAATAAGCTAATCATATATATATGTATACAAATACAAATGAGTATTTCACAACCAGTACTTTTGTGGTTTATGTCAAAAATTACAGTATACCCATCTTTGAAATAAGTGGAGTTTCATTTTCCTACAAATTTTACTTTCAGTATTTTTTATAACACACATTAGGCTATCATGGAAACTAGATTATTTTAATTTTCTAAACTATGATAAAGAGTAATGACATTGTTATTTTTTCTATTAAGTGCATTTTTTATTTAGATTTCTGTACACGCTTCTGGTGTGAGCATATCAATTTATAATAACGTTCTTATAACAGGTTAGTGTGTGTGAATATACCTGCCAAAAGCTGTTTCAATAACTTGTATATGTTAATAGGTGGATACCTCTTAAGTGGAAAATACTTGTGTAGACATATTTGTTATCATAAAAATCTATTTATATAGTTCTCATAAGTTGTTTTATTGTTTGTACAGTAAAACAGTTGAATCAAAAGCTCTTTAGTTTGTTCATAATTCTTGACACTTCATTAAAACTATTGAAAATTCTAACACAAAGCTTCTGCATAATCATTTTATATATTTTTTTTAACAATGCATAATTTGTAATGAGAAAAATAATTTTCTCAGTTATTTGCAATATACTAAAAAATTATTTTTCCAGTATTTCCCTACTTTTACTTTTTCCTTCAGAATTCACAAATTTAAATAATTTAATTAATCCTTTTATAATGATCAAGTAATAAGAAATGAGTATTTCATCACCATTACCTTCATGGTTTCAGTTAAAAATTTGAGTATATCCATCTTTGAAATACATGAAGTTTTGTTTTTCTACAACTAAGTTGGATCATCAAAGTTTTGTTGTGCATACTGTAAGCTATTGTGAAACGGATATAAATTGCCCCAATTTAATTCTTTATATCGTTAGCCGACACTGGGCAGCTGGTACATAATTGAATAGAGTTGTTTAAACATTTGTTTAACAAGAGTAAATGCTTTGAATGGTCTATTCTTTCATTGGAGGTGTGTCTGTGAGCCAGACTAGCTTTGGAAGAATAGACCATTCCAAGCTTTTACTTTTTGTTACTTTTTACTTGTTGTTTAAGCAACTCTATTCAAAGATATAAATTGCACTTATTGACCACTACATCTATGCCTCGTAGTAGCAACTCTCTGAACCTCTCTGGAACTGTTTTAGCATGTGAGGTCTAACTAATTATTTGGACTTTGTAAGTAGTATGTCTACAAATATACCCTAAAATTCTGTTAGTTTGACTACTAGTAACAGAACACTATTCAGTGACATGAGTGACTCATCCACCACTATGCCAAGATAAGTTTTGTTATTCACACTATTTACTAAACAAGTGATTATAGTAACATCAAATGCATTATTTTGCAGTTAATATAATTAAAGGTCATTTGCTGTACATTGTTTAACTTGTCAATTGATTCAAGTCAATATATAGTTCCTTAAGATCCTCAATACAGTTGAAATATCCAAGAGTTTAATGTCATCAGCAACATTTACTAACTTACTAGTTATACCATTATCAACATCATTAATGTAGATAAGAATAAGCAAGGGACCAAGCAATGATTTCTGAGGCATTTCACTAGTATCAACATCAGTAACAAGGCTCCAGTTTGACTGGACTCTGAATCTGTTTGTTCTTATCCAATCACCCTATAAACCATTTAACTAGTCTTTACTCAAACCCTACCAATGTGATTTTTTTTTAGCTAGTCTTCTTTGTATCACCATCTCAAAAGCTTTTTGAAAATCTAAGTACACCAAGTCAACACCCTTTCCATCAACCAGATAACAAGTAACATCCTTGAAAAAAGGGTTAGAGATTAGTAGGCAAAATATCCATTTAGTGAATCCATGAGGACCTTCTTTTATGGTATCACTAGCAGATAGATGCTCATTGAAACAATAGTGAGGAATAAATATAAAATGATAAGTCAACCCAATCTCTTAGATCAGAGCATATATATGCAATATGGTTGTCTAGTTAGTGGGCTATTTATAACTGTCTTTTCTCATTTTCTGTCTTATTTCAATAATGAAAATTGCATTTTATTTTTTTTAAGTGAAGGAGACTAAATACAATGCATTGTTGGCAAAAAATCTTTGTTTTTAAATGCACTGGTTGCATTCAGCACATTAAAGCATCCAGCTTCACTAAGTAGTTGCTGGGATTTTTTTTCACTGGATGTCACATTTCTTATCATTTTACTGAGTGTTAGGAAAGACTGTTACAGATGTGAGATTTTTGACAGTTGTCATTTCTATAAGGGGAGATATTGAAATCAATTTATTCAATGTGGTACAATAAAATCATGCATGTATACGATACATGCATTGATAGGTAGATAAATATATATATAAACCAAACAACAACAAATATATACTCAAACACGTTCCTTTTCTTATGCATTTTTTCCATTCATGCTCTTACCTTCAAAATATTTCTTTCAGTTATTCAATGGAAGAAGTCCTGTTTTGGAGACACGGATTATGACAGACAGACAGATGTTTGGCTATTTTAGATATACATAGATAGATATAGATATTTCACTAAATAGTTTTGTAAAGCTTCTTTTATAAGGGATTAATATTTACTTCTATAATGGGAAAAATTCTAATTGGCCTGTACTTTCCAAGGCAACTCTTAACCACCCACTTTTAAAAATAAGGTTAACATTAGCAACTTTTCAATCTTTAGGTACCTAACCATTGTCTATTGAAATATAAAAAATGAAAGAGAGAGAGATTTCTATGTCTGACCTTTGACCTCCTTTAAAACCCCAGAGAAAACCTTGACTAAGAGAAATTTTATGATTAACTAATTCCTGGATTCATTAATTGGTTACATTAAACTAATAGATTATTTTCACATGGAGCTTGGATAGTTGGAATGATCAAAAATAGTAATAATAAGAAACACTAATGTAGATTAGTTGATTATTTTTATGAATTGTGCCAATTGATTTAGCTGAACAACCTTGAATTAATGAAAAATAATGGTAAGAAATTATAATAGCAATATTTCTATTACATGGATACTTAGAATAATCGAAAAGAGTAATAATCAGAAACACCGATTTTGATTAGTTGATTATTTTTGTAACAATTTATATAATCATAATTTTGATTAATTGGTTATTTTATGACACTAACTGATGTAATTGAGTTAATTGCTGGTTTTTTTTTTAATCTCTCGACCTTTCTTTTTATTTACCACCAAGGGAAAATATTTACATGATTCTGGTCAGTTCCATTATCAGAGTGAGGAATATTGTTAATATCTTGTCTTGTTGAAACAAAAAAGAAAATCTAATAATCTTGAACAAACACCTGCCATCAGTAACCTTTATAGGCCTAATCCCCATAGTAAGATTCTGCTTAATTTTAACATACTTAAAATATCCTTGCTGTTAACTTAAATTAGTGGATAATCCATGGTGATAGTAAAGTGTGCAACAAGGAACACAACCTTATTTTCTGGATTGATGGTGTGTGTTTTGAGAATAGCTAGAATTGATGTATGCCCTTGAATAATTAGGGATTGTTCCATGCCTTTGAAAATTGAAAGAATGTATCTTTGCAATGAAATAGGGGTAGAGTATCCCACATGCAAATGTTGACTTGCCAGACCATAAACAAAAAATTAATAATGTTGTTCATAGCTGTGTGCAGGGCAGTGTGTATTTGTGCAAGCACATTAATGAGCCCAAACAAACTCAACCAACAGTGTGACCAATTGATTACAGTACAAATTATAAGAGCCTCACATAAAGCCTAAGTATCAAAGAAATAAAGTAAGAAACAAATTAGAAGTTTATTTAAACATGTGGGAACAGGAAAACCGACATGTTATGCTTTTATGTCGACAAGTAATGCAAAACATCCCCAAAATAAAATAAAATTAATAGCCTCATGATATCGGGGATGTCAGTGTAAAAGTTTTTATACATTAGCATAAGATGGTGGTGATTTTCATCAATTGAGGCATAGTTCTGAAAAGTGCAGTGTAAATAAACCACTTTAATGCGCATAATTTGACTTCCAAATGACTTATTATGTATATTCATTCTATTCCAAATATATATATATATATATAAGATTTGAGGGCGATGCCATCAGAATTGACAAAACCTTTGAGTGTACAGTTCCTTATTATAGTATAGATGTTGTGAGCTAGCTGTTTTTCTTTTTAAGTTGCTAATTTATTTTTTAGCCAAATTCCTAGCTTTCCTATAGATCTATAAACCTTCCATTTCATCTACTAATGCTACTTTTTTTTAACTTTTAATGTTTTATCTATGATTTTTTCCTTTTTTGTCTTTAGTAAGCCAGTTAGGTTGTATCTTCTCTGTTATCCTTTTTATCTTTTATATAAACAAGGTTCTTTTGAATGAAAAGTAATTTATTTCAAAAAAATTTGCATATTTCCCACATCACCATTCAACTTATTATTCGATTTCACTAATGATAAATCTTATATCATCACTTCAAAATAGGCTATCTAAAAATTGGGAACTGGAATTTTTATCCAAACATGTAGAAGAACATCAAATTTAATTATGTGATAATCATTTCCTCAAATGTTCCCCCCTCACTTTAACTCTTGCAACCATATTATCATTTGTTTTTAAGGTAAATAGCAAGCTGTTACGAATTAAACTGTATTTATCAATTAGGGTGATTTTCATCATTGAAGTTACTTAAATTCAGTATTGCATAACGTTTAATATTTGTAATATTATTTTATGCTAATCCATTTTCAACTTGCTGAACAACATTGGGCTTAATGCATATCATATTAACTTCTCTCTTGTCACACACACACACACACACATTCAATTCATCATACAGTATTTGAAGAACAATTTTTCTAGGCTGTAGTGAATAAATGTAACAACTTGGTGGATTAGGAATGGTTGAGGTTTGTAACTTTATTTCAAGGAATTTGTCTCTGTAAGCAGTTTTAATCAATTTGTTCTCTAAATCAAGTCTAAAAGTTTTTTTGTTTTTTTTCAAAAACTGAATAATTTTTTCTGTATTAATTTTGTTATCAGGTGGTTTCAGGCTTGTTGTTCAAACTGATGGTAGAAGTTGGTAGTACTACTTGCAACAAAAATGAGGTGACTTTTGATGACGTGGAACAGTGTGAAATTGATGAAAATGGGGTAAGTTTAGATACCATGCTGCTGCAACGTATATATTAGTATAATAATGAATGTAATGTAAGATATGAATTATTTTCCTTCAGATGCTTATAGACCTATAAAGTGTTGTAAATATGATTAAAGAAATTTGAAGATGTTTCATTTTGTAGATAATCGTATTTAATGCATATTCAAATGATACTATTTGAAATGGATTTTATGTGCCTCTAGATTTCTAAAGGATAGAATGAAAAATTAAGATAAGAATTTATGAGCATTAATGCTACACAATCTTCATATGCTTATATGCAGGTTTCTGGTATTTCACTTATAGACTTACAAGTTTATGCACTGAATTTGCCTCGTATGGGCACTTGCACACTAAAATTTTGGTTTATGCACATAAACAAATATATACATTAATTTTAGTGCTCTAATACTGTTACCAACTTTAAAGTATCAAACACATTAACTTTTTGAAGCAGGTGTTAGGTGCATATACATATTATACATTACAAATTAGCATGACTCGTATAAATGATAGCTGAGGCCATGAAATATCATGTGGTTTCCAGCCTGTACAGAGATTTCATTCAGCACTTTTTCATTAAAAGTTGCATATCAGATTTACTTATATATTCATGGATTATCTGTCAAGCAGGTACCCTGTTAATTGTTCATGTTTAATTAATCTGGTCTTCATACCTACACAGTTTGCAATAAAAAGAAATATGATGTTAATCAGATTATAAAACAGCTTTTTTGTAAAGTGGTTGATAAAAAAAAAAAATATATATATATATATATGTATATATATAATTGATCATGAGCTGTTACTTGTTACACCTTCGAAGATGAACTGGATACAGCAATCAGTCTGAGTTTTGGACTAAAAGGTGTCTACTTGGAATTCTAATTATTACATAATGATCACATTTATTTGAAAGAGTTTGTCTTCACCCTCAGAATTTGACACCTAAGGGTATTTGATCCCTTATTATGAAATCCTATGGAGAACCCTGTATCGTACTATAATGGAGCAATGGTGTGTCTGTCTATATATCTATCTATGTATGTATGTATGTGACTGAAATGATAAATACGATGATGCCATCTGTTGTACTAGATGCTAGAAGTAATGATTGAAGCTTATAAAATGTGGTGTCATCTATTGAATGGCACCACAAACAAAAATCCATAAAAAAATTTCACACTTTGGGTATTCAAGATTTAGACAGTTGGAAAAATAACTGTGGTATGTGCAACAACCATTTCTTT